GACAAAGGGAAGGGAGGGGAGAAGGGAGGGGCTCACGGGAAGGCCCACCCCCCAGTCCCCACTGCCCCCTACAATGGGGGGGGCCCCCCACACCACAAGGGGGGCCCATCCTACGTCACCAAAGGGGGGCAATTTGCACCACACAGAGAGCCCAGCCCGCAACCCAGGGGTAAGCCCACACTATGTAACAAGGGCGCGTTCACCCTGCTGCGACGCACTCCAAAGGGAGGAACCCCATCTTCAGTCCATTCACATCCATCCCCCATCATTTCACCATGCACCACAGGATAACGAGACGCCGCCTGGTCAGTGGCCGGACTCAGCCACACAATGGAGGAAGCTGGCAAGGCGGGTGGTAGCGGCCACGTCAGGAACCTCGGTCCTGGTCGGTGAAATCGCGGGAGTGTCGGCACGTATCTTGGTTGATACGGGGGCATCAGCCACGATCATCTCGAGCACCATGCACGAGATGCTGCCGGATAAAATCCGACCTTTAGTCCCCGTCAAGACAACGTTCATTGCAGCAAATGGAGGCAGCATGGGCTTCCTGGGCCAGGTTGAAGCCCCGATACAGATTGGGCAGCTTTCGGTAGCAGGACCCATCCTTGTCTCCGCAACATTGCCCGTACCCTGCCTGTTGGGGACGGACTTTCTGAGGCGGATGCCAATGAAAATCGATCTGGCCAATGGGCGGGTGGAAGTCCAGGGAACGCATCTCCATTTCCTAAAGGCGGAGGGAGCCAGCCGGGGAGTACCCTACGTGCAGGCTCTGGTCAGTAAGTCTGTCTCCATTCCCCCGGCAGCCCAGATGCTGATTCCGCTGCAATATCGGTCTCCCCTCGTGACAGCCCGACCAGACTCACCCATCCTGGTGTCTCCGGCATCAGCTGCCATGGATCGCCATGCGCTGGTGGGGGCCGAAACTATTGTACAGAGGAACCAGCATCTGTTCATTCAGGTGCTGAACATCTCCGATAGAACAGCGACGGTGCAGGAGGGAACAGTTCTGGCCCACGTTAGTCCCTTGTCACTAGGAGCCCCAGGGACAAAGCCCGAGCTTGTAGGCAGCATCAGCCAGTCCGAGGACAGAGGGGCCGAATCGTGGATGGACCAGCTGGCGGGGCCTGAGCCGGGATTGCCGCCCGACCAGAAACAGCAGCTGCACTCATTATTGCATGAGTTCTCGGACGTGTTCAGCCGGGGACCGTTCGACCTAGGGCGCACAAATCTGTCGCAGCACCACATTAACACGGGAGATGCCGCACCCCTGCGCCAAAACACATATAGAATGAGCCCAATGGAAAAAGGGCACATTCAACAAGCGGTGCAGGAGATGCTGCGGGCCGACATAATTTCTCCATCCTCGAGTCCCTGGGGGGCACCGGTGGTCCTAGTCAAGAAGTCAGACGGGTCACTGAGATTCTGTGTGGACTTCCGACGCCTCAATGCCGTCACGCTGGCCGACGCATATCCCCTACCACGTATTGACGACTCATTGGATGCACTGGCGGGAGCAAAATTTTTCAGTACGCTGGATTTATTGTCCGGGTTCTGGCAGGTCCCACTAGACGCGGACTCCCGGCCTAAAACAGCGTTCCGGACACCACAGGGCCTGTTCGAGTTCAACTGCCTGCCTATGGGCCTCCAGACTGCGCCGGCGACGTTCCAACGCATAATGGAGTTGGCCTTAGCAGGCCTCCAATGGGAAACGTGCCTCATCTACCTGGATGACGTCATTGTCTTCAGCCGATCATTCGAGGAACACATTGACCGATTACGTCAGGTATTCCTGCGGTTCCGGAACGCGAACTTGAAGCTCAAGCCGTCGAAGTGCCACCTTATGCAGTCGTCGGTACGCTACTTGGGCCACGTCGTCAGTGAGTCTGGAGTGGCTACAGACCCGGAAAAGACGGCCTGCGTGAGGGCCTGGGCTGTTCCCACAACGGTTCCAGAGGTACGCCGGTTTGTGGGTTTCGTTTCTTATTACCGCCGGTTCGTACCCAACTTCGCAACCATTGCCAAGCCCTTGCACGTGTTGACGGCGAAGAACCAGAGGTTTTATTGGGGCCCTCTGGAGGAAGAGGCATTCCAGCAGCTGCGCTCACGTCTGACAGATGCACCACCATTGGCTTTTCCGGATTTTGGCCTCCCCTTTATCCTGGACACGGACGCCAGCGATGTGGGCATCGGCAGTGTTTTGTCGCAAGTCCAGCAGGGTCGCGAGGTGGTTATCGCCTATGGTAGTCGCGTGCTTTCATCAGCGGAGCAGCGCTACTGCGTCACACGTAGGGAACTCCTGGCAGTCGTTCACTTCGTGCAGCAATTTCGACCCTACCTGTATGGTCGCAAATTTACGGTCCGCACTGACCACGCGGCCTTGCAGTATTCGCTCCGCATCGACCAGCCTTCGGGCCAGCTGGCCAGATGGATAGAGCGCCTGCAGGAGTACAGGTACCAAGTAGTGCATCGCAAAGGGACCAGACATGCCAACGCAGACGCATTGTCCCGACTGGCGCCCCAGGGCCCTTGTGCATGCACCACAGGCGGGGCACGCTGCAAGGAGGCGAGGCCGGAGGGGACAGTCATCGCTCCCGTACGCACGGCGGAGGACGCACAGGGTGAGGTCCAGCTGACCGACCACGACCTGGGGCTGACCTTGGACGATTGGCGACGGCTACAGCTGGAGGAAGCCCCACTGCGAACGCTACGCGCCTCAGCAGAGGCAGGGGGGGAGGAGTACATCGTATGGGAGGACCTCCTCATGCGATGGGACCCGACAGGGCGCCGACGATGCCTGGTAGTTCCGGAGTCGCTGCGTCAACAATTGGTTATGGACGTACACGGCCGCCAGCTGCTGCACCTGGCGGGGCGGAAGACACTGTACACATTACAGAGTCGGTACTTTTGGCCAGGTATGACCGCTGATGTGCATCGATGGGTCGCTACCTGCGTCGAATGTGCGCGGCGAAAGCCGCCACCCCGGGTAAGCCGGGCGCCCCTACAGCCCATCACGGTGACCAGGGTCAACGAATTGGTTGCGTTGGACATCCTGGGACCACTGCCGGTCACGCCACGGGGAAATAAATACCTGTTGGTCGGAGTCGAGTACTGCACGAGGTGGCCGATGGCGTGGGCCCTCCCGGACCAAACGGCACAGACCATCGCCGATGCCTTCGTGGGAGGCTATGTCCTTGATAAGGGGGCACCGGAGCGGTTGCTCACGGATCAGGGCAGGAATTTCTCCTCACAGCTATTGAAGGACGTCTGCTCTATCCTGGGCACTAAAAAGGTCCGAACATCTCCGTATCATCCCCAGACCGATGGGATGGTAGAGCGGCTTAACCGCACCATAGCGGCCATGCTGTCCCAAGTGGTGGACGAAAACCATTCCGACTGGGACCTCCACATTCCATCTGTCTTAGCGGCGTACAGGGTGGCCCCACACGCGGCGACGGGGTTCTCGCCGTTTTTCCTGATGTACGGACGGGATCCCGTTCCGCCTATTGAGGTGCAGTTGACGGACATTCCCGCAAGAGCCGACGCATGGCCGAAGGCACTAAAGACCTCCCTCATTTATTTGAGAGAGGCCCGCCAAGCAGCCGAGGCCGCATCGGCCACGAGCCAAGAGAGTAATGTACGGATACGGGAGAGGACAGTGACAGCCAAGCCCTTCAAAGTCGGGGACCAGGCATGGCTACACTGTCCTCAGGTGCCGGTTGGCCTCTCACCAAAGCTGCACCGACCCTGGAAAGGGCCGGTCGAGGTCATTAAAGCACTCCGACCGCAGTGCGTCCAGGTCCAACTGGGTAAGCGACGATGGTTTGTACACCCCACCCGCCTTAAGCCATACATCTCTCCACCGTCATCTTCACCAACATCACCACCAACATCACTGCCAACATCATCATCATCCCTACCCAGGCCAAGGTCGCCGACCACCACGCACCGACCGGCAGGGGGTTCGGTGCCCTGTGTTCCCTTGTCACCTACAGCACCCCATGTGAGGCCTGACGGAGCGGCGGCACGAGCGGGGGCCGGAGAGACAGCGGCGCCGGGCAAGGCGACACCAGCACCACCGAACCAGGGACCGCGACGAGAGGGCCTTCGAAGGAGGGGGCCGCCACGGTCATCTGCTGCCTGTGGATGTCCGGGCTGTTACGAGATGCTGGCTGGAGACCTGGGCAGGCCGCGCAATTGATTTCGTTGTGTTATGTTGCATTGTATGGTTGTGGGGGGGGTAAGGGCTGTCGTCACTGTCAGTGGGGGGAGGCATGGGGAGATTTAAATGGTCCATGGGGGAGGCAGAACCGAGGACGGTTATTTTTTTCTCCGGGGGGGGGGGGGGATGTAGGGGTGTCAGGGGAAGGATTCCCACCAATAGATGGGTTAGTGGGAGGGGTGATCGAAGAGATATAAGGAGAGAACGGGCGGGAAGAAGGGGCCTTTGGCGGGAACGAGATTGGGACGGCTGGGGGACAGGTGTGGAGAGAAGGAAAAGAATAAAGGACGAGACCCCTGCAATCTGGTGTCGGCTCCTACTTTACACATGTATAGTGCTAACAAGAAAAACAATATAGAGAGAATCTCTCACGATCCACACTCATAACGACTCCTCCACCGCAAAATGTGAATCCACAATCCAGTGGTGGGCCCTCTCTCTCTCTCTCGCCGCGGTGTCCCCCGCTGGCTTCTTGCACGTGGTGGTTGGTGGTGGTGTTTGGTGGTTGGTGTTGGTGGTTGGTGGTGGTGGTTGTGGTGGTTGGTGTTTGGTGGTGGTGGTGGTTGGTGGTGGGTGGCGGTAGTGGTTGGTGGTGTTGGTGGTTGGTGGTGGTGGTTGTGGTGGTGGGTGGTTGGTTGTTGTGGTGGTTGGTGGTGGTGGTTGGTGGTGGTGGTTGTGGTGGTGGGTGGTTGGTTGTTGTGGTGGTTGGTGGTGGTGTTGGTGGGTGGTGGTTGGTGGTGGGTGGCGGTAGGTGTTGGTGGTTGGTGGTGGTGGTTGGTTGTTGTGGTGGTGGTGGTTGGTGGTGGTGGGTGGCGGTGGTTGGTGGTGTTAGTGGTTGGTTGGTTGGTGGTTGGTTGTTGTGGTGGGTGGTTGGTTGTTGTGGTGGTGGTGGCGGTGGTTATTGGTGGTTGGCGGCGGCGTGCGTTGTGGGCGTTGTGTTCCAGCAGCAAGCTGCTCAAGGCGTATTGCCCCCTGCTGCTTCGCTACATTGTTCGGCATTCGGGACGCCAAGTTAGGCGAGAGAGGAGGAGAAGGAGGAGAGGAAGGAAGAGAAGAAGGAGGAGGAGGAGAGAAGGAGGAGGAGGAGAAGAAGGAGGAGAGAGAGAAAGGAAGCAAAGGGGAGGGCAGGAGAAGGCGTTCCTCTCCAAACTTTGAGAGAAGGAGGAGAAAGAATAAAAAGACTCCAACCCAAGCGACGATCGTGGTAACAAAAAAAAACTGCTCTCATCTTGCGCTTGCTTATCCGTGTGCTTGCTCGGCTCCGTGTGTTTGTTTTTTTAAGTTCTTAATTATACTCAGCCATGGTCAATCCACTGCTGGATGAAGGCCTTCCCAAGTCGTCGCCGCTATCTTGTGAGTAGTTGGGTCGTTGTCGTCGCTCTTGTGCTAAATCCACTGCTGGATGGATTAACGCTTTGCCAAGCCTGCAGTGAGGGCAACATTGTGGGCCGTATGGTTAATCCACTGCTGGATGAAGGTTCTGCAATGCAATCGTCCACCGTAGGGCATCGGAACGCCAGATGATTCCATCGCTCCGTCTCCACGTTGATGGTGAACTTTGTTGCGGTAATGTGATTATTTAGTTTTCCCGATGTCCCGTTTGGAAAAAGGTTCCGGACACATGAAAATGGAGCGAATGATTTTGTTATGTTTTTAGTTTATTTATTATTTTTACGTGGTGTTTTTGTGTTTTTTTTTGTGTTATGTGTGTGGTCGAGAGAATGGAGAGATCGTTCGGGGCCGGCGGGCAGGAGAGACCGAGGCTCTGCTGCGGCCTAGTCGGTCTTTTTTTTTCACTTTAATTTAGTTACGGTTTTATTTGAAGCTTCCTCTTAATTAATACCTCCTTGACGACGGCTAGATTATTATTAATATTCACCTGTCGTTGTTTTCGCTATATAACTTAGAGCGTTGCCTGTGGTTGATGCTGCCCGCGTTAATGTGTGACGAGGCGCTGTTTAGTGACTTAACGGATTTTATTGTTCGCAGTGACGTTTTGTTTCGTTTAATTTTGTGTTTCTTTTGCTGACGATAACGTTTCGGTTGTTTATTTTCTACCCACCCTTCTTAAAAGTCAAAGAATTTCAGCTTGACATGAGCGTATACTGCACCGCGTAAATTACTGTATTACAATGCATGCACATGTACGTGTTGTATCGAGTTAAATAACCGCGTTAAATGTACTACCGTATTGGTATTTATTGGGGGTTTTTTTCCTTACCAAGCTTTAACAATGCATTCATGCAGATGTATGTTAAATATAATTGTAACTATTAGATCTCAGGATGTTGAGATTATGGTAGCGGCTTTGTGAGGAGTCAATCATCCAGCAGTGGCTTGATCATGCTAATTGATGTTCATACTTTATAGTGTTTGATAATGGTCATTCAGAGTAGCAATGTGTGTTAAATGTTTAACCTATCTGACATACGGTTTTATTATTATTTAATGTAGTGACTGTATACATGTTAAGCGTGCTTACACTAAGTCTCTATATATGGTATTAAACTTCAGATATGCAACTGTAGTGTTTCTAGGACATTTTGGGGGAGTTATTTTAAAAGTCATGTTGTGATTCGAGTGCTAGTGGACATAGCATCGGATGGTGTAAGTGGCCTTTGGTTGTTTTTGACAGTTGTCACTCATGAATGGAATTTGACACACCATCCCAATTCTGTTCGTGCGTGTGATGGCAATACGTTAAGGAGCTAAATTCCAATATCCGAGGTCTGTTAGCCACGACGAGAGGATTTGTATAGGATAGAGTTCATGTAGTTTTGCAAAGTCTGATCTGTTGAAGGAACGCATGCTGCATTGTGTGGTTCATAGTGTGGGTTTCATGGCCACAATTACATTGCGTCTTGACTTTAACATCCCCCAAATGTAAGACCCTCTTCTTGAAAAGTCACGAGATTCAATGAGGCTATCCCGTATAAATGAATGCATTGTTTCATCGTGTTGTTATTATTAGTTGGTGCAGCTGACTTGCTTGAAGTTTCACTACAATGCTGTCTTGTTTCCCGTGGCTTTGAAATGTCATATTAGTTTGGATGATTCACTCGTGTGCTCCGAGACACTTTCGCTCTTTGTGGAGATTTCTTGTTTTTGCTCTTTAGTATAACTTACCGAGTTAAATCGGTGGATACAATTTATGTTTTACAACATCCTTGCAACAACAAAATACTTTGTTAAGCAGTAATCCTCGTATCATTGGTTTTAAATGAAGAACTAAAGTAAATTACGTGACTTTTTAGAAACAAAATGTATTTGTGTAAGTTAAATAACGTTCCATTTTGTAATTTTCTCTTTAATGGCCACGATTGGCTTAGTTTGCTGAGTAATGATTTGTTTTTACAGTGGCATCCTGGTTTTAACGACCTGTGATTTGGATGGAATCCATGACAAACATCGTATTTTGACAGTTTTTATTTTTTGTGAATATTATAAATTATTTAAGGATATGTGTATATATAGATTTAGCCATCCTACCTATCATTTATTTTAAAAAAAACGTTATTTGAATAAACACCACTTAGATAAAAAGTTAATTAGAAACAATTTTTGTTGTGCCTGCACACCACTGGCAATGCAGTCCCATGATGTTTCCTCTGTTCCCTCATTAAATATATTTACGATTAAACTTTAACTGTGCAGCCTCTTAAAATTAGTAACATCCTGTTGGGAGTTTTCTTAACTTGATGACTTATTTTTCCTTCCCTCTCACTTTGCCTTAAGCACTTTCTCACCGATGGTTTTTAGACGGGAGACTTGAAGGGCAGGCAGTGTTTTTTACGTTTAAAATTCCTTTCTGCCTTTTATAGACAACGACGGGGTTGAATTATACCTCTTTCACCTCTGTTTTCAACAGCCTAACGGCTTCCTGGACTTGTCACCCTCTTGGTTTGAAATAATTCTTCACTTTGTCATTCGGGCACATTTTCCATTATTTCATGTTCCAAGCCCCCATTTGTTTTGTAATGCTATGTTTTATATTCTTTCCTGATCCATTCCAGACACGTGTCAAAACCACTGGACTCGTCTCTTGCATATATTCTTTAAGGATCATCTGTTTGTCCAAATTGTTATCTTGTCTCTAGATTTAACATATTCTGTAGTATAGATGCTGCTGCAGTGCTTCGAAGTAAAAAGATGAGACCTTTCAATGGGTGGTAGTTCTGGTGATTTGGAGGTAGAAAATAAGTATAACCCATAAAAACTAAGTTTTTCACTCTAAATCCTTTATATGCGTGGCGGCTAGAGTCCTCTCGTCCTCTGGCTTGAAATGACTGCCACCTATGGGTCAGATGATTGTCTGCAGTATTAAACAATTGGTAATTAAATATTTAATTTGTTTTCCCTAAACGGTGTAAAATTTAGGAAAACATTTTTTCACGAACATTAATTGTCTCGCACAACGAGTCTGTGTGCAAAATGTCAGCTCGATTGGATCAAGGGAAGTGGGTTAAAAAACGACCGAAAGGTTTGCACGGTCGTAAGCAAGCAAGCACGCAAGCAAGCGAACTTAATATAAAGGATTTAAAAATGTGGTCTCTGTGCATATTTATTTCTCAGTTTTTGCCACACACAATTGGGCACACCCAGTTATTGCTTTCCCAACTGAATCGGGGTTGTCTGTCTTGAAGCTTGCCGCAGTGCTTGCAAATAATACGATGGAATTCGTTCGTTGAGAGGTAGGTCTCATGAATTGAAAAGGAAACTGGGTCACAGTCCATGTATATTCATATCTGTCGTCGCACGCGCAATCGCTACATGCAGATAGTACTTTCCCCGTTGAATCGGGTCCAACTGTTAACGCGGGCCGACACGCCCATGAAAGCCAACACGGGATTCTAAAAAGCATGCCGACCATAACTTCACCTGACAGCACTCTACCTGTGCCGACACTACCCATTCTTTTAAATTTTTGCGGTTTTTGAAACGTGACCGGTTTTTGAAATGTGACCGCAGCATTTGTTGTTTGTGAGTAATAACGCCCCTTTGCCCCCCCTTGCATCTTTTAAGCAATAATCATACTCGTGTAGGTTTAGTCATTGTGTACAGTTATGCAATTTTATTGCACTCTGCTGAAGTTCAACAAGCGCATGTTGCGGAATGTGAAAATGTTTTTTGTTATTCTAGGAGAGCTTTAGTAAGACTCGAGGCTAATTTTCAGGAGGGTATTGCATTAGGATGTGTGGCCAGTTCTCTTTTTAAGTAGCGGTTGACAGTATATATGAAAAAATATATATACTTTACCATGATGTATCACTAGCAAGTAAAATATGAACTGATCCTGGGTTCCCTTCACCATCCCACACTGACCAGCGTGGTGAGGCATCGATTAGTGGATTTCCAAGGGATTGGACCATAAGTTATTATTTTTATATTCTTCATTGTATGTATGAACATAATTGCTGTTATACGGGAAGTAGCCTGTTTGTTCCAATTTAGCTGTTTGTTATACCCAAATTGTGCTGTAGATGGCAGATAAATGTTGTAATCCCTTGACCGAATGTCCTCAAATTGACCAGTGACCGCCCATCGGGCTGACGTTGGCTTGTGTTGCGGCCGAACCATATAAGCACTCGCTGTATACACTTCGTGCAATCTGTGTTTATAATAAAAAGAAAATGGTTAATACAAGAAAATATCGTGACTGTGACTGGGATTTTTTTTAAGAAGTAAAAGTTGCTCAACTTTTTTAAATGTACATTTTATTTTCATGTAGTTTTGAGTAGTTAACCATTTTCTGAAATGGAATTGTTTCTGAGAAGACAACTGGTGTCGGACACTAAATAAATGTGTTGTTTTCACATTTCCTTGATTTGAGCCATCTATGATTGGGTAAAATTTGTGACTTAAATTATATTTCTCCTATTGTCTAATTTGCTGCATTCTATTAAGTTATTTAAAAAATATCAAAGAAACTTCTATTTTTCTTTTCGATTTAAAGCTTTCGTGACTGCAGGGATTCATCTTCTTGGTTCTTTCGGTAAAGTCACGTAGAAGGGAAGTAATAAAATAATAAAAACAAAAATAAAACATTAAAAAAACAATTCTCACCAATTTTTTATTATGTTTTATTTTTATTATTTTATTACTTCCCTTCTACGTGACTTTACCGAAAGAAGCAAGAAGATTCTATTTTTCTCTTGGTTGTGAGTCGGTTGGGCTTTTTTTTAAGAATGCACAATTAAATAAATATCCAAACAAATGATCAAATCAACAGTGCTTAACATACAGCCCTTTGCCAAGCCACATTTGGATGAAGGCCTCCCATGCCATTTCAGCCATGGGGGTTTTATCATACTGCACGGCTTGTCAACACAGGTTATTGAATGGGTACATTGCCCAGGACCGGTTAAGATAGAAGTTAATTTAAAACTCGCTATATATGTTGCAGTATACCATCCACACGTATGAACTAGGAAGACCATTTATAAGCGTTACACATGATATCAAAACTCAACACTTACGCTTGAGAAGTGGAGGCATTGGGTTGCCCGATGTGTCGGTGACACAGGACGGACTGAGTGCTAAGTGGGTGTTCCGTGTGCGTGTCCCCGCAGCGGCGCGTGTAAATGCCGCGGCCGTCCGGAGCCCACGATGAAGAAGACAAGCAGACCACCGAGCGCGGCCGCCCCTCCGTCGGGGCCCACTAAAGGGCCTCCGCACGGCAGTGCCGGCGGCAACGTGGAGCGTGCCCCTGCGCCCTCGCACGGGCACAGCGGCGTCAAGGCAGCCAAGGCCTCTGCGGGGAGCAGCGGCATGTCGGGACTTACAAAGGTACATCGTGCCCGTCGCCCCCATTGTGCGTGTGTGGTGGAAAGAGTGCCGCCTGGCTTGGGTCACATCACGTGATTTAATGGTAAAATGTTTTCACAAGGTCAAGAGGGTATTACTGGCAATATCATTCATGCTACCGCTTTCACCGTAAACGTATTAATACTAGAAAAGTTTATAGCAACAAAATACATTCTTTACACAGTATAGATAGCCTCACTGAGTACATTACACAGATTATAGATTTTTAAAAAGTACTAATGAAAGCCTCACTGTGACTCAGGAATTTTTTTTTAGGAGGGTCCTGCATTTGGATGTTTGTCCATGTGCATTAATGAGTATTTTACATGAGGGGAGAAATACTAACTGCCTCGAGAAAATCCACACTTAGGAGGAGTACCACCTAAACACTGCCATCTCCCAGCCCACTCGCAGCCCCAAGCCTATAACTCCTCTAAAGCCCTGGTGGTCAATTCACCCATCAAACTCCTAACCAGCCTCAATAATCCCTAGTTTCCGAGCTCTTACGAAATTAGCCACATGTACGGTGATTTGGTCATACTAGTAGTGTCTTATTACTTTTGTTACATATGTTACATTTCTTCTGTTGGTCTCTACAAAGTGATAGCATGACCACAAGTAATGGCATTGCTTAATAATGGTAGTGGTATACACTTTAAGACACTTAATATATGCACCGTATGATTATGCATGTAATGCAGAGCTTTAGAAGCAAGGGTTTGCGGGTTATGGAGATTTGCCAAACTTCTAAACCTGCTAGACTGCAAGGTAGCCTGTAGATGGCAGTACAGCTAGTGTCTTTGTGTTTTCACGTGTGTGGTCCGTTGAGTAGTATCCATTCCTGTGTTGTTTTCTCTAAGGAACTCGATTTCCTTCCACATGCAAAACGCTCGTCACAAAAGGAATTGGTCAAATGTTCCATTGCAGAATCCTCCCAAAAACGTGTAAAGGCTCAATGGGAGCTTTCCTGGGTAAATACATTTTTCATGAGCCACAATAAATATAAACTATTATTACTTTTAACTTTTCAATATGAATAGTAAAATCTACGTATTTTCTTCATCACATTTTTGGTGTTATAGGTTTGGTTCCTCATGATAAATATTGTTCTTACTCGCTGATCAAACATTTTTTTGACACGTTTAGTAATTTTTTGAGTAAATTTATGTTTATCTTGGAATTTTTACGTGTAGTTTTACATGCTTTCTCTCTGCGAAAGGCATTTGGAAACACCTTGAATGTAGTTGGAACCTCGCTAAAACTCACAGCCTTCTTGTGAAGGTGCCGGTGCACAACACACGAGAATGTAGCCAGTCTTGCCAGAATAAGTGCAGTGTGTGTGTACACTTGCCATTGGAATAGGCTGCATGGAAAACTTAAGACACCTTGGCATTGCTGTTGTCTTTGCCTTCTCCAATCAATTGAACACTGTTGCAGTGTGCCAAGTAGTTGTTTAGCACCTCGTAACTCTAAACCATGGCAACCTGGTTCCTTTTACTGTTAGCAGCATTCTAAGAAGCAACGGCGCTCTGCTCTCCGTACACCTACCAGCTTTATCACCGTAATTTTCCTATGTGTTATTGTAGTACAGTGCTCGAAACAACAGAGAGAAATCGTCAACTATTAATAAAAGTTACGCTTTGGCTGGAATAGCAATGGATATGTGGTAAAAATAAAAATAGTTTTCTTTTGTAATACAGGAATGTACTTTAAAAGTAATGAATGTGTTTTGGCTGTTGGCCTAGTGCTTAAGAAGACTTTTTTTCGTGGGACCTGCGGGCGTGTGCGCGCGTGCATGTGTACACGTGTGTGTGTGTTATGCGTGCGTGCATGTGTGTGCAGAGCCAGAGCAGGGATGACCTGCTGGGCGGCAGCAGCAGCAGTGCGGCTGCCCAGGGCTGTGCAGCTCCAGCAAGGAAACACTCGGTGCCCTCGGCCAGCGTCACGGACCAGAAAGCTAAAGGCACCACGGGTAAGGCTATTCATCCTGTTTACTGTATCTCTTTCATTTTGCCTATAACCAAATTTTCCATTGAGCACATCAACTGGAATGTGTCCGATTTTGTTAGCGCCTGGAAGCTAAGCAGGGTTGGGTCTGAATAGTGCTTGGATGGGTGACCGTTATGCACAACAGGCTGCTATAGGCTTCTGCGGAGCTATGTTGTGATCAGTAGAGGGCAGTGCTGTACTATGTTTAATAATTTCTACTACCCACGCTCCAGGTCTTCACCAACCCGCACCGACCAAGATGATGAAGTATGGTAAAATAACTGCCATGACCCACACGGTGTGGGTAGGTCCTCATCCAGCAGTGGATTGACAAAATGAATGTATATGGACGTATCATAATCATCACGATCCATGGGCAGATAAAACGAAGGTGTCAAACTACACATTTCATCATTTGTTTCCACTTTCTTCTTGTGCCAATATGCTCAAGTCTTACACATCTTTCTGACACCAATCTTTTATGTTGTCAATCCCTATATCTCCTGTATTTCATTTACTTATCTCTTATAGTAGAGTGTTTTCTGCTCTTGAAAAACAAGTTTCAGTGATCCATAAATGCGGTATCCTCCACTACAGCTGTTTTCTTTGACAAAATGACAATGACTGTGCAGTAATAAGGAGAGAAATGGGCATTTCTAATTGCGCTGCCAGCTGGTTTCGGCATCCGTCACAATGGCAGAGCTCGTGAAACGTTTCCATAATATGTTGCAGATAGCTTTGTTGACATTTAGTTTGCTTTAATTTATTGCATTAATTTTAGTGTAAAATTTAGCTATAAAAAATGCAAAGTTTCTGGTATTTTGAGTATGGTGCCAATAATGAATAATCATGGTAGAAACATTTGTGTTATTTTCAAATAAATAATAATCCCAACATGATGTAATTTTGCACGATCACACAAATGTTTCATATTGACACAGCTGCTCAGAAGGACATACCGCATCTTGATTAAGATAGTGTGATATTAACCATGTGTATCGTATATCTATTTTCAAAATAACTATGTATCATCCTGGTAAACACACGCAACGTTAGTGCAAAAAGCTGTGTTTGTTTGTAGCCGCGCAAAAAGTTACACGGGTTGAAGTATAAGTAGCATAAATCGAAATAACTAACCTTGAACTATTAACCCTGGCAGCAGAATGGTTTCTCCATGGAGCAAATTTATTATATTTTCACAATTTTTTTTTCTTTTCATCGGAACAGCAGCAGTGAGCTGTTGACGTTATGCGTATATAGCTGCCGTGCGACCTCAGTCTCGCGGAATGCATCTGTGCAAACAGGCAGCCGATCCCTCCCTCCCGCCCCTCTAGCATCGGGCGGGCGTTCGTGTGGAAGAGCTTCACTCCCTCCCTGTTATTGTGCTGCTTGCTCGGCAGGAAGCGAGCAGCTGCACGGCCTTCCCAGGGGGAGGCCTGTGGCCAGGGCGCCGTTCACTTCCATCGCTGTGGCGGGTTTTTTTTTGTTTAATGTAAAAGTTACCACTGATGTTTACATTTGTAAAAACAGGAAGGCTTGAGCGTGTTAAGTTTATTAGTTTAACCAGGTGAGAACTCAAGAGACCAGGGTATTCTCATTTGCAAGAGTGAACTGGGTCAGGAAAATGGCAAAAGCGATAAAATAAAATAAAGTACAGCAATGAAGAAATGAGAAATAATGGAGGAATAAAAAAAACTGAAATTAATTTTCCAGAAGCAGCTGCCAGCACGTGGCTTAGCAAAACGTCAGACATCGTGCCAAACAACACTCAGTACAAAAAGACATCTGAGAGCTATGCTGGTACAACCACGAAAACCTACGCAGTGGTATATAACAAAAGAGTTACCCCAGTGTAAATTAGTAAGGATACCAGCAGTCGAATGCTTGACGATTTGAAATTGGAGAGAGCTGTTGCCATGTAGTGATTTGGGGCTACTTGGTTACACTGTTGGACAGTTCCCAGGAGGATTGCATAAGGAAATTAAATATCCCATAGCAACGCAGGCTTCTTGTATGCCACCTGCGTATAAATTGTCAAACAGGGGCAGATGCCCTTTTTGAAGAAAACAATGGGCTTATAAAAACATTCATTTATTATTTACAGAGGGGTGGGACCACACCGAGACGTACAGTATGCAACCCGATTTTTTTCTTCCACATAATGGCTTTGCATTACAAATTAGCTCAGTTAGCCTGCACAAACAATGTGGGAGTGATTAGAGTCTCCGAAGACACAATGGGGCCAGTGTGCCGTGCAAGGGAGGGCGTACTCTCTACACAAAGCGGGATCCATCTCGATACCGGGTTACACAGAACAACAGAGGCCGGTGGAGGAAGCAAGGTGAGTTTTAATGTCCTGTTAGGATTTTTTTTTTTTACAAAACTCCCGATTTGTATAAGTTGTTGAGGTTGTACTTGATAGTCATTAGGGTAGTGATTTGACAATATGGAGAATCGTCTGTGTCATCTGTTTTCCTGTAACAAGTTGGGTAATTCTCTAGGCGTTGGTCTGAGCCAGGACATTTGTTGGGCAGTCATTTACAAAAGTGCCTCGCTCACCCATGTCAGCGTGACAGGTGTAATGACCAATGTCTGTCTGCGCATGAGTTAGGTATGAGGTGGTGTTCAGCCTGAGGGTAGTCTGCCTAGTGGCAGTGTGCTACATGTGCTAGACAGCTTAACCCTCCTGCTGTCCAAAATATGCCTTTTAAATTTTAAGAGGTTTTTTTGTTGTTTCTTCTGTGAGTTTATACACGGTGGAAAACGAATTCCAATGATAATTATTAATCTCTAACTATATGTATCAACTAAGTAGCATTTCCCAGGAAAAACAAACTAACTTGAAAACAATAATCCAGTTATGATAATTAATTTGAACTTTTAAACCGAGAAGCGTTGTTGGGATTAACATTTATTTCTTTGCGGTTTCTTGAAAGAATGGGCATAACTTTGTGAAGGGTAATGTCAGCTGTTGAAAGGGTTAAATAATATCTAAAAATGGCTTGGGGTTCTGCATACCTTCAAAATGATGAGCCCAAGGACGCGTTTCCGCCTTGCACCAGATAATACACGCGACATCCTCTCCTTGTGATGATAACTCTTAAAAAACACCTACTTGTGGGAACGTGTGTGACTCACGGTTTAAGGAAGCTTGGGCTGTGGTGAATAAAAGGTGTATTGCTCCGTGTTACCTGGTTTAGAATGCTTTTTGTCATTCTTAGAGCCAGGGCTGTACATTGTTGAGAGCTTAAAGCGGAGTTTTTTTTGTGTCGGCGCACAAGACAATAGCCTCCTACGCCTTGAGGTCTCTCAGGAAGTTTTAATTTGTGTTCAACATAACGACAACAGCCTCGGCAGAAACAGAGAGAAGAAATCTTTTTCTGTTTCGTGCCGCAGAGTCTCGTCAGATATGTGGTGCATTTCTTGCAGAGGTATGAGATTTTTAAAAATGCTTTTTCGGTTTCTTTACGTGTTCACGTACTCTTCCGTTGTCATTGTGATGTATTTTGAAAGACAGTACTGTTTTACTTTTACTGTCGAACCTGTTTTGACGGCACTGCTTGAGTTAAAAATGTATTGTCTGTTTTTCGTTCGCTACAAAGTCTCATGTGCGAGTGCTTCTTATGACTGAAATAGTGTAATCGTTCATTATAAAGCGGTTAATTAGGAAACATTTTTAAAATGTACTTGTTACCAGGCCAATGGTTTTACTGGACATCTGTGAAAATACTGTACATCTGTGAAAAAGAGTTGTATAGCTCATTGCATTCCTCCAGTATGAATACGTATTCTGATTCTGTTTATTGCAGTCTCCAACTCGCTAGTGTCATCTCCAAGTTGTACACTCTTATCTGACTGGCCTCTAGTTATGTGCCATGAAGACGGGCCATTGCACGGAATATCATCTGCGATATGTTGTTTCCGTTTAAGGCCGTGTTGTTGAATGTAAAAGCTTTATTAGTTTATTCCAATAATTTCCAAATAATTGATGTATTACACCATAAAACATGAATTCGTTACAGCCAATATCACGCATTTTTAAGTGTGTAACATAAACGGAGAATACAGATTACAATTAATAGCTTATCAAGATACACATCTCTTTGGCAAGGGAGACTAAAGTAATTTTTTTTCTTCAAATTAGACCAAATGTTGTTAAGCATGATGCGTAACATTTTGCTTCACGTGCCCGGAGCTGTTACAGAAACAATTCAGTTCTTTGGATCCATTCATTTCCTGAATTAGCTACCATAACGTGGAGCTTCTGTAATGGAATCTGCCAACATGTGTAGCGAAACGTTTAATATCGTGCTGAACAACACACGACACAACCCGAAAACACATCGGAGGGCTACAAAGCACAACAACAACCACGAAAGCCTACCGCAGTATTACATTGCACTACCGTAGTCTCTAAACGTTCAGTTCCCAGTCTCGCTCCGTAATTTGCTGCTGTAATCGGTGGGCGCTGTTCCCCGTAGGCATGAGCACAGCGGCAAAGCGTGCCGCCGCCTCCAAGGACTCGGCGTCGGCGTCCCGCGACAAGGCAAAGGATCGCCTGCGCCAGGGGACAAGCAAGAAATCCTCATCGGGGCCTGCGTCGTCGTCTTCATCGTCTGGGCCCAGCACGAGCGAGCATGTGGCCTCACGGCGTCCGTCGCGCAGCCGCCTCACCGACGCGGGCGATGCTACGCGGCCCGGCGGTGGCGGGCGGACCCGGACGGCCGCAACGGATGGGCACGTCCAAGGTGGTAGCGGCGAGCAGGCGGCGCTGGAGGCGCGCGTGAAGGCGTTGCTAGCGTTAGCCGAGAGCAAGGACTCGGAGATCGGCCAGCTGAAGGGGCAGCTGCGTGCCATGAAGGCGCAGCTCGGCATGGAGGAAGAGCTCGAGGCAGAGCCTGAGCCTGAGGTGGAGGTGGAAGCAGAGGTGGAAGCCGAGGTGGAGCCGGAGCCAACTCAGGCGCCTGCGGCGCAGGGCATCTCGTGCGATGTAGAGGCGGCACTGGGCCAGCTGATGGAGCAGAATCGTGCCATCCGCGGGGAGCTGAGCCAGCTGAAGAGCGAAAACCGCATGCTGAAGGACCGTCTGAATGCACTGGGCTTCTCACTGGAGCAGCAGCAGCACCTGCAGCAGCACCACTCTGAGCGGCTGCAGAGTCTGGGCATGTGCGGCGGTATCGACCCGCTACCGGCGTCGGCGTCGTCCCGTGAGGGCTCGTCGCGTGGCTCTCTGGAGGACCTGCTGAGCCAGGATGGCAGCAGCTGCTGCACACTGGGAGAGTCTCAGCCGCTCAGCAACTCGGTGGACAACCTGGACAGCGAGTCGAGCGAGCTGCCGCCGTACGGGGGCGCCACGTCGAGCGACGATGCCCTCGACGCCTCGTCCGAGTCGGAGGGTGGCCCCACGCCTGCCCCGGACGTGGAGCGCGACCCGGAGCCGGAGTTGGAGCTGCGGCCGGAGTGCGGGCAGCCGCGGGTGGTGCAGGCGGTTGGCAAGGCGGGTGTCGGAGGGGCAACCGGGACGAGTGAGGTGTCGGTGGCGTGCCTGACGGAGAAGATCCACCAGATGGAGGAGAACCAGCACAGCACGTCGGAGGAGCTGCAGGCCACGCTGCAGGAGCTGCAGGATCTGCAACAGGTGTGTGTGTATTCTTGGTTCTTTCGGTAAAGTCACGTAGAAGGGAAATAACTAAATAATATTTTTATTATTTAATAATATTTTTATTCTTTTATTATTTCTATTAATAAAAATATTCTTTTGTTATTTACCTTCTACGTGACTTTACCGAAAGAACCAAGAATATGAATCCCTGCAGTCACGAAAGCTTTAAATAAGAATTTAGGTGTGTGTGTGTGCTTTCCTACAGAGCCTTTTTGCTTTCTCAGCTTCCATTAATGTGATTAATTTGTGAATTGTTTTGGCAGAAAGCAACGTCAATTTCCGTGTGGACAATAAATGCTCCCTACTTGCTAAATTGATTCGTGGGCAATGAAACGTAAATCTGGTGGGCTAATTAGCCGATTGCGGTTCTTTGCATTCAGCTAACACCGAGTCTTATTTTAATGTATCATATGGGGTCTTCCGTAAATACATACGTGTTTTCCATGTTGTGTTTTTAATTTAATCGCATTTCATACTCAAGTATGTTCATACTTATCAGTATTTTGTTGTATTTAGCATGACGTACAATTTGTTGTTAGTAAGTGATGGACTTGAAATGTTTATCTTAAATGCTAAGTAACAGGCATGTCGCGATCGACCATCCTCACGATTAAAATAATTGTAAGGGTTTGAACTTTGGTTCAAGTAGTGTAGTACTCCGTTCATGCCTTTAGTATATGCAAGTGTAATGTGACCAAGTCCGTCATATGAGAATTCAATTATAGTTCATTCCTTCATGCGTGATTCGGTCTTTAATTTGCTAGTCACTGTGCCACACAAAACTAGGAGAAGCATGAAAATGAATAAAAATCGATACACCGTCACATGCCTATTATGTCAACACAACACCATGACCGGCATTCCCGTCGGCGACAGGTGGCGCAGGAGCTGAGCAACGAGAACGAGCGACTGAGCGAGGAGCGCGCCCTGCTGCTCGAGTCGCTGTGCCAGCAGGGCGAGCGCCTGGACGAGCTGTCGCGCCAGGCTGACTGCTACCGTGCCATGCTGGCCCAGGATGGCGGTGCCATGCCACCGTTGCAGGCCGGCGACATGGGCGCTTGCGGCGGCGCGGCGGGAGACGCGCTGGGGCTGAAGAGCGACGGGCGTGTGCAGGAGCTCGAGAGGGGCTACCTGCAGCTGGCAGAGAGTGCGCAGATAGAGCAGGAGCAGCTGCTGGGGGTCCAGCAGAGGCTCACGGCGGCGCTGCATGCGGCAGAGAACGAGCACGCGGAGGCAGAGAGCATCATACAGAACCTCAAGGTCTGGTGCCTAACCCGTGCCCGCTTCCGCGCTTTAAAATATTCAGTGAATTTCAATAGCGTGGTGTGGGATCTTGTGCAATGCTCCTGGCAGTTGAATCTTTGGTTTAGCGTTACATCCGTTTGCGTGCGTTGTTTGCTTGAAAGCTTGCCATGGCCTTCACGCGCCAAATCTGCTCACGTTCCTTTTTGTGTGTGCCCACGTTACGCACCTGTGTGGGATTACGTCGGAGACCGTGGCTGTAGCACTTGCGTACGTTTTTTGCTTGTGCGCGCGCGCTCGTGAAAAACTCCCGTCTTCCTTGCCTCACCGTGGTGGTGACGCAGGAGCGAAACCGGCATCTGGAGCGGCTTTTGGAGGCGGAGCAGAAGAGCAAGGCCCTGCTGGCAGCATCCCTGGAAGATTACCAGGCGGCGGTGACGTCCGGCAAGCAAGAGTCCGCCCGCCTCAAGGGACACCTGGACGAGGAGAGGCGGCGTCTGGCCGAGCTGTACTCGCTGCACAACGCGGGAGAAGACCTGGACCTGTGCGTCCTCCTCGACTCGGCGCGGGCCGACAAGGAGCGCCTGGAGAGCATGTGCGCCAACGTGCAGGAGGAGTTGGAGCACAGCCAGGCCGAGGGTCACAAGCTGCAGACCGAAATTGAAAAGGTTCGCGTTGTTATTGGGCAGAGGGAGATGGCTAAGTTGCGTCGAATTTGTTATTCCGTTTGTTGTTTGCGCTTGATTGTTAATTTAGTACGCTTAGTTGTCGGTGTACATCTACGATTAATTTCAGAAAGGTGAAACCTTATTTCTCTTATGTTGTTTGGTTTTAATGACATAGGTTCAGTTATGCAATGTGCAGTAGGTTACAACATGTTTTGTTTCCTTTGATTTGGTTGAATTATTGTCAGGCATTCCCTGGTTGTACCATCTTTAAACACTTCAACACTAACACATTAGATGGATGTCATGTTGCAGTCTGCATTACTTTTATTGGTTTTCTTATGAAGCTTTCGAAAGGACTAATATTTTTCAAATCATATTTTTAAGTAAGAAATAACTGCCAGGCTTATTTTAATGTATAGTGTATACAACTTTGGTACAACACGTTGTACACATTCTCAAGCCATGCAGGTCATGTGGATTATTTGACCATACTTCTCTCTGCTGGGCAGTACGGGTTGGTGAAGTAAGGGAGCCCCCAGGTTTTGGAGCATAGCGCAGTCAAGCAATGGGATTTTCGCCACCGCCCTCTGTTGACAGCAGAACCCCACATCGGCCTATAACAAACAGCTGTGCATGGTGGTTGCTTTTTCAAGCACCATCCAGGCTCAAACATTGCTTAGCTTCTTAGATCTAATAAGATCTGTGGGTGACTTTAGCATCGGCAAAGTAAATTTCAAACACGTCCCATTTTGCGGGAAAGTTGAAATGAAACACTTCCCCCGATTTTTCCTCTGACGTTTTCGTCCGGCGCGTGCAGCTGTCGGAAGAGCTGAACGAGGAGAAGCGGCAGTGCTCGGAGATGGCGCGCACGCTGGATAAGTTGCGCGGGGAGCTCGAGGAAAAGGAGACGGAGATTGCCGACATGAAGGAGACCATCTTCGAGCTGGAGGACGAGGTGGAGCAACACCGTGCCCTCAAGCTGCATGACAACCTCATCATCTCCGAACTCGAGGGTGAGACGTCGTCTTCCCTACCCCTGCGATCTGCTCACTCGTGAACCATGCGGAATGTTGTTGTTTTCCTTGGTGTCACCGGTGCGACAAGTAGACATGTGACAATTCACGCGTGCTGAATTTGATTGGCGCGATTGAGGGTCACGATTATTTTCAGGAATTCGGAGTTGTGTGTTTACCCCAATTAGGCTTCACGTAGCATATAATTCTAAACTAAAACTAAACTTTTTTATTTTATCAGGTAAGGCCCACTGAGCTATACAGCTCTCTTCCTGAAGCGACCTGGCCACAAGTGATAGCTCAATGAAGTGGCGATCATCGTCAGCTAGTGCCGCCCTCTTTCCAGAGTTCGCAGTGTGCAGCATAGCTCTTCCATTTCTGTCTTGCCGCCAGTCTTGTTGTGTTTGTTGATCCGCATGTCATCTGTCCGTTACTTTCCTGGTCATCTTTGTGATCGCTGTACATGTGCAACCTTTATCAATCCATCCAGATCATGCTGGTTACTTTTGTGGATATTTAACCATACTTCAGGCTGGTCATTTGTAGGTTGGCAGAGGAGAAGGTCAGTGGGGAGCAAAGATCCGGGAGTGTAGAAGTCGATGACAATAATTGTATTGTATATGTTATTATTCCAAGAGGATAGTTGAACTGAAATGATGAGTAATGAAGAAAAGGTGAAAATAGCTTCTAATCTGTTCGTTATATTGGTTTTGTGCGCTTTGCTGTTCTTTGTTTAGGCACTGTTCGAAAGCTGCAGGACCAAACGCACGACTATGAGCGGGAAATCAAGATCCTCAGACGCAAGCTGCGGGTAATCTCATCATCCTTCTCTTTGCAAAATAATATTTTCATTGTACGCACGGTACATTTGCACATGACCTTTTCTCCTTAGACTGTATTATCGTATTGATTTCCGAATTTCATAAGATGCACGCCTAATTTGGTCTAATGTATCTGCAGAGTCGTATGTTGAAGTAGAGATGTCTCACATCTCATGGGCAGTTGATGAATCAGCCGAGCGGTTGCATGATTTATAAGAAACCCATTAACAGCGCAATTGCAACTAAATGGGATTAACCCTTCCGAGTGCAACAAAAAATTATTCCACCCCCTCCTTTAATCAAATAAATCATTCCTACATTTGGTATTCACATCATTCCGATTCCACAAGGCTGTCAGGAAGGCGCTTTGTTTAGGACAATTATTTTCTGCAGTAGTTTCACAATCGGGGGGGGGGGGGGGGGGACGATGTTGCCGTGTGTTTTTCCCCAATCAAGTAATTTGGACCACGACGCCGTGACTCCTTGCCTCCTCGTTTTTAATAGCGTCACGTAAGCTTTGACAGCCACTGTAAAGCAGGCGGCTCGTATATACAGCAGACACTCGGTTATCCGCGCTAATGACACAGATGATTCTAAATTGCGGATAATCTAAAAATATAAATTTTCCGTGGGTCTCTATGCCAAAAACCACTAATATAGGTATACATTTTGACTCCAATTTACGTAAAATATCCAGTTTTTGATTTGAAGTTAAAACAACACTCTAACATTTCTCTGCCATCGCACACTTTCGTAACTTTAAACTTATAAAATAAATGGTCGGATAAATCACTCAAAATGATGCACAACTGACGATTTTGATTGTTACTTTTTTGATTTAGAACGAATACTAACGACCGATGGATGCGCATGCTCCGTGATAACACTTTTCTGCTCTCGCGCAGAAGATTCCGCCCAGTAAATGGATAGCAGTGCCACGCCAATCAAAATCAATCAAACTGCCCACTGTTATAAAGATGTGCAACTACTGTACTGTAGAGACGATCACGTGGATTTTGGATTAACCGGGGCACATATTTTATCAGTTTAAACACGTGACTTGTAATAAACATTTCCAAAAATAACAATAACCTGTTTTTAGATGATCAATTTGGGCTTAAGGGGAAATCCACGAGTTACTCATTTATGTTTCAATCTCAGGTGCGCGGTTAATCCACAAATTGGATAAACCGCACGCGGATAATCCAGAGTCTACTTATCTAGTTTATACACCCGCGGTATTAACCAGGGCAACCTCGGCCTCGTACTGTGAATCTCTGCAAAAGACGAAAAGTGCGCAATCGCTCGGCTACATCACCTCCCGCCATCTTTACCCGTGGTGAACGCAGGATGAATCGGAAGAGTGGCGGCAGTTCCAGACCGACCTGCAGATGGCCGTGGTGATAGCCAACGAGATCAAGGCCGAGGCTCAGGAGGAGATCGACGAGCTGAAACGGCAGCTGCAGGAGGAGCAGGAGCGGAACCATAAGCTGTCTATGGAGTGCGAGGAGCTCAAGAACCGCAGGCACGAAGGCCACCACAAACGTACCACACAATGGGCTTCCATGAAGAAGTAGGAGAAATAAGTCGATAACTTATTTTCGTCAAAGTTTACCACATTGATAACTCGAATTGAGTAACTTGACTGTTAACTAGCCCGCTGACATCGGTGTAAATTTAAATGTATTCTTAACTGCCCACTGGTGTCAGTGCGTCGTGTGTCTTGTTGAGAGCTGTCTATAATTGAATGCAACTTCTTCTTGGTTCTTTCGGTAAAGTCACGTAGAAGGGGAATAATAAAAATAAAACATTATTTTATTATGTTATTTTATTATGTTTTATTTTTATTATTTCCCTTCTACGTGACTTTACCGAAAGAACCAAGAAGATGAATCCCTGCAGTCACGAAGGCTTTAAATCGGAAAATTGAATGCAACTTATCACTCGTAGATTGTTTCTCATTACTCACTTAAACAAAAAAACATAAATGTAAAGTAAATAATGTGCAGAATATTTCTTCATATTTTTAAGACAATTTTTAATTGACTAACCCCAGCCATGAGCTGCAGTTAAAGTGATAAAATAAGACAAACTAGGGTTAGGGGTTTTGGCGCTGCTGACTAATTAATGCTGTTAGGTCATGTGATTGATGATGTATGACTAACATCATATATGTTAATATCCTGTATATATAAGTATTACTGAGTTAACGTCTTCATGGACAACCCAATCCACATTTTAAAAGCTGCAGAGTCTCGCTGAGAATTAAAAGAGAGGGAAGTCGACTGGTGAGGTGTTTGGCTGTCACTTTTCCTCCTGATGGATGGTATCATTACTGTTGTGCTGACAAGGCATGAGATCATCTCCATTACGATTGATGGCGCTTTGAATTGTTGCCATTTGGTTTGCGTCTGTTGCCGTCTGTTGCCTTCTCGCCGGCAAATGTGTAAATTCCAAATATTGGCATCTGCTTTGCTGTTCCCTCTTTTTTTTATCAGTAGTAAATAATCACCCATGTAGTTAATCCAATATGTAATATCCATTCCGTGGTGTGCCCACTGGGTGCAGTGTTGTTTTCGAGAGACGTGTTTAAAATTAATTGAAAAAGTAGCTTGAAACCAATTAGCATTATAATTGCCTACGGATATTGTCGACGGTCAATATGGCTGTATGCCAACATGAATGAATGTGTGGTACATCGTGTACCAATGCGGTTTTGTTCCTTGTGCCTGTTATAGTTGTGCATTGTAATTATATGGTCAGCTGTACAATCAAAAGGCATATGCCTTGTTTACAGCCACTGCAGGATATGATTCGGGCAGGATCGGCAATGGATACGTACTCACGAGGCGGTGCGTGTCAAAACTCGTGTACGTGCAAGCAATTTCAAAGTTTTAGGGGGCTATTGGCTATAGGGTGGAGTGGGGCGGGGGGTCCGTAAAGGGTATTAATTTATGGTGCAATACAAGTGGCTCGTGTGCCCTGTAAAAAAGTTGGAATAGCAGTTTCCCCCATTTTGTCACCTATATTGCTATTCGGCATATACCAAGGCATTGAATTGTGAATTGAAACAGATTCTTTCACGTGTGATATGTGCGTTTCATCATGAATGTCTCTCTTGTGAATTTATCATATTAGATTTATGCCAATTACATCGAAATTGTATGGTAATTTTACAAAGAGGCTAGTTCACTGGTAAAAACTAAATATACTCCACGAATGAAATGGGAAAAATTAGATGACAAGGAATTGGTTTGTCATCTCGAATTATCGGTAGGGGCAGAAGAACACGACGCGTTTAGGGCCTAGGCCGTTGAATGAATGGAAAGTACCTGGAAGCAGTTGTAAATACAATTACAAACAACATTAACGGGATTCGTTTTGAAATTCCATTGCGGATGTGGTTGACCCCAGGTCCGTCCACCTGGAAGAATGAGTTTGTGCACACGCGCAGGATGTTTGAGCATCGCCGTGCCTGTGTGGTTTTTCGCACGTGCGCAGGCAAGAGGAGGAACACCAGCAGCAGGCCCAGCAGCAGCAGAGCCGCATGTTCAAGTTCAGCCCAGCGGTGGAGCGCGACCTGGCCGCCCTGAGGCAGAGCGTGGTGAGCAGCCGCAAGTCGTCGCTCGCCGCCGAGCCCTCGCCCACCGTCAAAACGCTCATCAAGTCGTTCAACAGTGCCTCTCAAGGTCGGGTCCCCCCCCCCCACCCGCGTTGCCGCGAGGTGCCCTCGTGCGTGGCTCTCGGGGTTACGGTTTACTGTTCGGGGTGACTGCTGCTACGATGGGATGTTGTGTTAAGTTTATAGGATGTCGGGAGGCTGGCACTGTTCTTCCCCCCCACCCCCCCCCCGGGAACCTCCGATTAGCACGGTTGGCTACGTATGGTGCGAAAGAAGTTCAACACCGTGTGTACTGTTGAGATCCTGGGTTCAAGTCTAGTCGGCTGCTTGTAATCAATATAGGTTCTCAAGTGTCGTAAGTCTGAGTCTCAGCCCAATGAGCAGTTACTACACAAAGGATGTCGCATAAAATGTGGGTAAGCCTTTACCGTCATTCAACTAACTTGCCCATTAGTGGTAGAGCGCGTGGGGAAGTGCTCTGTCCCCTACTTTGTCGACCGGTAATCACATGAAGGGAGTTGAGAGGTAGCTCTTGTATCTCATTACATGGGCTATTTCATAACAAGCAGGCCTACATATGCTGTACATTATCACACAGCATTCACTTGATGCTCATGCATATTTAACCCAGATGAAACATTCAAAGTCGTTCTTTTCACTGCTACCAAGATTCTCCTTTGAAGTCTTAATGGCGAGCGGCTCATTAGGGAAATGTAGTGAATCGATAACATCTGCGGCTGATATAAAAATAAGTCGTGGTGGTGCGGACGGGTTTAGCTTTTGCAAAGCAATTGCACTACTTTGCGTTTGAAATTGTACAGCAAACCTATCAGCATGCCATGAAACTACATTATTAGAAAATGCTGGAATATGATGCACCTGCCTTGTTTATGCTGCACTATATATTTTCAGTGACGCTTGCAAAACCATATATTAGTAGTGCTGCTGCCCGTTACTTGTTAACGCACTCAAGTGGTCAATGGGGCGGTGATTAAAAACACTTTCAGTCAAGTTTTAGAGACTCTCTTTATATGTTAATACTTAGTCATTGATATATTAAGTAGGTTAGAAGCTTTATTTATTCCACTGATTGGTTGGCATGGCTGGGTGGGTAGGAGTTGTGGGTTTAGAAATTGCTGTCCAGTACATCTAATTGAATGATTAATACATTATGTGTGCAATTCACGTTTAATCTGCTTACCACACTGAGTATGGGTTCTGTGGAAAACATGGTCCACATTGCAGTTACGTTTTTACAAATAAATGTATTTCAAATTGCATTAGAATTCCGACCGAATTTACCCATATGTTACAGTACGATCAGATCTGGTACATATAAAACTAATGTACAAAGCAGTTTATCAGTAATGCATTCATAGTAATTCAGTTATTCCAATTTATCTGGAAGTGGACTGATGGCACAGTGGTTAGCGCACTGCACTCTGTTCCCACTACCTGAATTTTATTCATGACCATGGTTAACATTAATGACAAGTGATATCTGATTCAATTCTGGGTTCTCCCCGTCACCAAATCCACACTAATCAGCAGGGGGAAGTATGGTTAAGAACCCCCACAACTGAGGATTAGGGTGCCACTTAAGATTCATGTTGGTTTCAAGGCCATGCCTCCTGATTATATTTGTCTGCCTGTTAAACTGAGGGTAATGTGTGTTTAAAGACAATCCCTCACTATTCACTGGTTGCTTGAGTTGAAAAAATTCATTACGGTCAATGCACATAGTCAAAGTATCGGCATAGAAGCAGATACGAAGAGGAGATCCTGAGCAATCCATACATACCAACAGATGACTTTTATACCAAAAGTAACAAATTGAGAGGAGGGTGTGATCTCAAAAAACTGAAACTTTACCTTTTCATGCCCGTATTGAGTGGCACCCTAACCGGCACGCTTTTGGAAGCCTTTTTAATCATTCGGGCTACAACACCTGCACACAATGAACCCGTACTTGCAGATAATGTCAAGGGTTGTTTGGCGTCTCCAGCAGGTTGCTTTTAATTCAATGTTCCCACATCTTTTCCCCCCACCCCGTGCCGAGTAATCGACGTTCTGTGTCTCGTCTCACGTAGTTTCTCGCGGCGCCGCCAGCGCCGTGCCCACCTCACCCCGCACGCCGCTCAGCCCCAGTCCCGTGAAGATGCCACCTGCTGCCGCCGTCTCACCCATGCAGGTGCCCGGAGCACAGCGGTGACACTTGGCACCACCTCTCGTGCCCCGCTGAACGGTCGCAACCTTGTCTCGCTTTTACCTCGTTCGTCGGCAATCATCCTTTGTTATTGTCGCGATAAAGACCACCCAGTACTTTCGCACCCACTCTTGTCAGCTGTATACCGCACGTTGCATCTGCGTTCCATCCCGCTGTAACATGCATCTTACCGTGGTCTCTCGGTCTTGTTCCTCATTAAAAATAATTTGTGGCGGTGTACAAACGCAATTGAAAAAAACCTCCACAAATCAGTTCCACTGCCCGAAAGAGAGAAAATTATATGATAGGTGACGTTTTGGGCAATGGCCATTCTTTATTGCAGAGAGAAGTGCATTTTCCCAGTGCTATTGACAAAAGTGTTCTGTTTTTCTTATTGTTCAAAAACGCAGTTCCGTACGTGCCAACTGCACAGATTTCAGCAGTAGGCTGCCAATTTTTAAACCCTCTTACCATTTCACAGATTTTCAAATCTAAATGAAACCGTTTAATGAAAATAAAGAAAAAATACAATTTTACTTAAACCTATATGGGGTTTAAAAATTGCCAACCTACCACTCAAATCAGTTAGAAAAGTCTGCATAGCGTCTTTCGCCTGCCTCAAAATAACTTAATTGTCAAGTGTACAAGAGCTCCGTTGGAGGGCTCTTTCTAGGGTTTCATTAAGTTATTGTGGGTGGGTGTATGGATGTGGCTAAATGGCACCATGCAATTACACGGTTATGTAGCAACCGCAGTCACATTTTAGCAAAGAACATTGCGTTTAGCTGCAGACAGCACCGATGCTGGGTCCAATTTTAATCACACCTATAGACGTAATTTTTAGTCTGTCTGCATGTCAGTCTGCGCGGGTACCTTGAGACCTTTTTAACTGACAAACTGTGGGGTTCACGTATGAAAAAAGTACACGGATACCACGCCGTATGCCCCGGGACGAAAAAGCGCTATTCGTATTTCACATCTGTCAAGTTTGAAGTAGTTAAATTAACAATTTATTCCCTTTTATCAGCACAGGGTGGCACCAGAGCACGCATCTGCGCATGCGGTAGCACGCCGGTTCCGTGGTGGTGGTTGCCCTAGCAACTCACACACTTGATCGGTGGGGGGAAATTCTCATTCGTGTAAAAAATGCAAAAAAAATACACGCTGAGGTAGATACTTCACAGTGTGAAGTTCTCTTCTTCCCAATGTGTGCACTTTTTACTATAGGGTCGGTAGATACTACTATTATAGTCCTTAGATACGATCACTGTTTCGTGGGCGGGGGGAATGGTGAGGGGGGGTAGTAGGCCAGACCCAGCCTGCAAAGGTGCCACCTTGGCCGGCTGGGCAATCGAAGCGAGGCTGGGCGCTCTGCACGGGACTAGGCCTCACCACTACACTCTGTGAAGTTAGTATTCTAGAGTCGATATATGCTATTAGAGAGTCGGTATATATGACTATAGAGTAGATAGATACTACTGTAGAGTTTGTAGTTACTGCGATAGTACTGCAGAGTTGGTAGATACTGCTGTAGAGTCGGTAGATACTGCTGCAGAGTCGGTAGATACTACTGCAGAGTCGGTAGATACTACTGCAGAGTCGGTAGATACTACTGCAGAGTCGGTAGATACTACTGCAGAGTCGGTAGATACTACTGCAGAGTCGGTAGATACTACTGCAGAGTCGGTAGATACTACTGCAGAGTCGGTAGATACTACTGCAGAGTCGGTAGATACTACTGCAGAGTCGGTAGATACTACTGCAGAGTCGGTAGATACTACTGTAGAGTCGGTAGATACTACTCACTCTTGTATGTAGGGTGTGTATATATATATATGCCTATGCCGAGGGTAAAAATATTTTTTGTGGAGCGGGGGTTGATAATTTTCGGTAATTTTTTAGATCAACTATTTACCCCCCACTTTCTATCAATTGTTGGACTTCTGCAAGCCTCTTATAATTTTGTTGACGGACAAATGGACAGACAAACGGCACGCCGGGCTTTCACAATAGTTTAGTATTTGTGTAAATCGAAAAATATGTACGTATATGTTGAAATATATTTTTCCCCCGGGCAACGCCGGGTACCTCCCACTAGTGTTCTTATATAACACAAGGTTAACAAAACAAGTCCAGCTGCAGTTCCACTTTGCGTAAGTCAGTGCCCCAGTACATTTAATTTAAAAGTATTAAATGCGTCCATGCCATGCCCATTAAATCCATTTTCCTTCATACTAATGAGCATATCGGTAAAACAGGCCACCTCGTGTCACTCCGCATTGGTTTCAAAAGCAGGCCCTGCAATTGCTTCTGGTGTCTTGTTGCAGAGACACTCGATTGCGGGACCCGGATCGCCAGCTGCAAAGCCAATATCGGCACTCACCGACAAGCGGCCCAGCTTTGGAGACCTGAGTACCACAGGTGGGTAGTTACCGTGCCCCCTCCCAACTCGTAGAAACACCATCACAGCCCACATCCGATGTCCCTTTTCCTCTGGCACAACTAAGCCACGCTAGCACTGGATCCCCCCACGGATATACGGGTTTTCCAACCCAGCGGTGTCGCCACAGCGCTCGTGATAGCCTCGGTGTGCTTTCACCCATTTTTACACCGGCACAATCCAGCCGGGTGGCTTTTCCAATGGCAATTAGCCGAGCCAGAAGCAAACTGTGAAGCTATTGGTCTCAAAAGACGTCAGAATCTGTCTCGGGATTAACACGGACCAGGGGCATTGTGAATCCACTATGAGACTCGACTCGTTCGTTACACGTGACGGCTGCGGCACAGCTCGGTTCCGCAGTGACAAATCACCCTGGTTCGGCACGGCTCAGTTGTCCAGTGGCAAAGAGGTATGAGTAGCGACATGAGTTGCCGTTTTTATGCCACTTGCCAAGCAAGGTGAGCTTTTGGGGGTGTTTCACGCCGACCTTGCCATGTACCATTGCCTTTCCGGTTCATGCGTGCTCAAACCTGAAATTGAAAGTGACTGTTTGACCAATGGGCACTTAGCCTAATGTTGTAAAATTTCAGATGTCGTTACTCCTGTTTTGTCACCTTCATGAATACCCTTTATCGTTGTCTCGCAGGCGACTTGATTATGAGGGCGGCAGCAAGTCGAGGTACGACCGGTTTGGGTCGGGCGAGTGCTCTGGACTCCGCTGGTGCGCCTGCTTTGCCCGCTACTGCTACTCACTCGTGTTTTTTGCTTCCTGCGCTTTTGGGCTACAGCTGGGCTCTGCATGGCTCTTACACGTTGCTGCCAGAGAATGCACTTGTGTTATTTTAAAAAATAAAATAGGAAAAACCCTTCTTCCTTATGTTTTTGCAAAAACATTTTTCTCCCAAGTCTATCCAGATTGTGCTATTGGCATCATATCACGTGATGAATAATTATAATCCATTCAAATATCTCACACAGCAGTACAATTCATTGTTTGCGAACACAAAGGATTGCCAAGGCATTGGTATATCTTCATCCAGTAGTGGATTGTTGATGTTTAATATTTGATAAAGAGACCAGTCTTTTATTCTTTGCTTGCCCTTGCTCCATCGGTTGCAAAACAACTTTTTTTCTTTTTCACAGCATCTAGAGATGCAGTCACATCATATCAGAATCGGAATATTTATACTGGAGGAATACGAGGAGCTTATAAAGCTCCTTGTCACAGATATATTGTTGTTTTTATGGATATTATTGTTTGTAATCGCACGAATAAATGACACCACGGCTGCCTTTGCCGTGATTCTCAATGTTCATTGCGTGGCGTGACGGTGTCTGTTTGCAAAGGAGTTCTGCGGCGGGGCCCAGATGAGTCCGGCCGGGACCTGATGGTAACGGACGGCACGTCACCATCGCCGTCCGCCACCCTGCCTCCCGGGGCCTCGGTCTCCCCCAAGCTGAGCCTGCCGGGCGGATCGGCCACAATGTCCGTCAGCCCCACCCCACGCAGTCGCATCAGGTGCGCGGTTCACCCACCTCTCCTGCAAGGAAGTGCAATGAGGTGTTTTAACGTTCTTTCAACCGAGGTTGAAAGCATTTATGCGTTAGCTCTCGCTGTCATTGCGTCCGTCTGAAATGTAAACCAAACTTAAATGCATCGTTGTGTTGGTATTGGGGAATTACCATTTTGAAAACTGGCTAATTTAACCAATTTGTCGGTCAAAACCTGAATATAAAAACCAAGAGCAACTAGGGCTTTGCAAAAGTGCAAGCCCATTTTGCCGACATATACCCATCGGAGATGCATAAAACACATTCTATTCTAACAGCTATCCACTGGGTTTCCGTCCTGTGTGTGTGTGTCAGTGAGGAGAGGAAGGACCCTCTCGGGGCGTTGGCCAGAGAGTACGGGGGTTCCAAACGCAACGCTTTGCTGAAGTGGTGTCAGAAGAAAACGGAGGGCTACCAAGTGAGTGTGAGCGAAGCACCCTTTCTGTTGACTTGCACCGAGATTCAACCTTTCCTCGCGATACGTTTAATTGGGGTCACCGTGTACACTGACATTTGTTTTTCTTGGCGAATCGCGGCGTGCGTTCTTGCCAACTACTGACCGAAATGCCTCCTGCAGTGCACACTAATTGCACTTCACGTTCAACCTTTGGAGTTGTATTTTTGTTCCCGAGTTAAAACAACGTTTGTAGCACTCTCCACGCAAACTCAACGAGTTGGCTTATTTCTTCCTCAATTAAACGTACTAAATCATTAGCAATTAACATGTTGGTGGTCACAACGGCTCTTGTGAACGTTGGGCGTAAAAATGTATGCGGCAGTGCTGGTTTTAATCATGCGTCTCTAAAATAGCATCCAATTACACCAAGCTGCAAGGAGAAATTACCCCGAATAAATTTCTATTTCACTGATACAACTTAAGTCATTTACGCACGGGGGCTGTATTTAAGTTAAGTGAGTGCACATCGCGCTTGTTTAATAGCAACAACCCTCATTATGAAGTTCTACCTCGCCCAGTTAATTGCTGCTGTAAATGGTTGAATAACAAGGCTCGCTGACGGAGAGACGGAGTTAAATGGGTTGCGGTTTTTTGTTGTTGCAACAAATTGAAGTGGAACCGCACTGCCACATTTACAGTTCTCCAAATCATATTTGTTTGCTTTTATGGAGCTCCATATTGGCCGATTTGTAGGTGCAAACTTGCTTAGGGACCACTCCTTCACGCAATTGTATGTGATGCACACGACTAGGCTGTGACAGTTATCAGCGCTGGCGATCCCGCCGATAACGTTTTTTGCTGTAACAAACGAGGTGAAAAGAATCCTCAAACCCTGAAATCACTTTCCAAATGTCTAAATATACGGGACGCGTTGAGCGTGTATGACAAAGCACACCTGTTGCTTGCAACAAAAGGATGTCTCCCCCTCTTTTTTTATGGTCTTTTTATATTTCTTGATTTGACGCGCAAAAGAGTGAATGGGTCTACCTTTTTGACTGCTGCATGTTATCCCTTCTGTCTGTGACACGGTCACATCCCTTCATGGCTAGGTTTTTTCAGCTTCCACACTTTCTGCCTTTTGTGAAAGTACAGTGCACTAAACACTGCCATTATGCCCCTCCAGACATCCCATAATGATGCAGACACATCGAGCTCGAGGGATACAAAAATATTTATTTTGAAGAGAATCCGCACTTTGGATTGCATCCGGGCAAATTGCAGGCACCGCATCTTCATAAAAGCTGCCTTTTGCAGTGTAAATTTCAACATTGTTAATTATCGCATAAACTAACACTATGATAGATTGCATTTCATTGCTTTCCATCTTAATTGCGTACAGCCACTGGAGTCTTGTAATTAAGTCTGTTGTGGCCGACACATATGATGAACAAAGCTGAAATGTTGTGGGTCACAGAGGTGACTTGTGTTTTGTTTTTACCTTTTAAATAATGGCATGCCTTTATCTTTCTCAGAACATTGATATCACCAACTTCAGCAGCAGCTGGAATGACGGCCTGGCATTCTGCGCGCTTTTGCACACCTACCTACCAGCTCACATCCCATATGCCGAGCTGTGCAGCCAGGACAAGGTAAGTGCAGTGAAAAGGCTTTAGGTTTTGTGCTTGTATTAGGTATAATGATGTAATGGATGTAAAGGTAATCAGAAGGTGAAATTGCAGCCCTGCAAATTGCTTGCTCACGTCACTATTGGAGAAGGTCATCTGGCTTTAGAGAGCCCCTCCAGATCAGAGGGTATATAGGCCTACTCTTCCACACTGTCCAGACGTCTTTTAAGAAAGAGGTGCGAGGACCCACACTTTACCCCACCACGTGCGACCTGTCGATTGACGCTACAGGGTGAACAGTCTTTAACCCTTTCCCATTACGATGACGTACGTGTACGTCATCAGAATTTTTATTCTGTTCCCATGACGTACACATACGTCATCGTAAAAGAATCGGAAGTAAGAGGCCATGCGGGAGGGCATGTGGCACAGTTTGGCGCCAGCTATCATAGAGTGCGGACATGGTGCCAACAGTTCTCTGTGGTGAGGACAATGTCTTTAAATACGGCGGCACGGCCGCTGTAAAGAAAGTTGACACTCAACGCTTGCGTGTTTCGAGATTCGGCGGTAAACTGGACCCACCAGGCGACTTGCAGACATCTCGGAACAGGAGAGGGGGAAGAGACTTGCCAGTTTTTTCAGCTACCGCGCCGGGAGAACGGTCCAGCGAAACTCTGGATTGCAGTCCAGTGTTGTACTCCATGGCAGCATATCTGTGGATCTAATTGGGTTTTATATTCACGTAACATTTAGCATGCACTTTGGCCTGACCTCACAACTTGTCTCCCTCTTCCTGCCTTCCAGGCCTGACTAGGAAAATTAATCATATCATGTTCTTTTAGGTTTGATGTGCATCATTGGCCACTTGAGCCCGAATTATATGGATACACTGCCGTAAAGCACACATTCCAAATTTTTACTTAAAACTATTTTCTAACGGACAAATCGGTCTTGTGAATTATTTAAAATGGGCAGGTTTGGGTTTAAGCATTCTCTGATCCATTTCAACATCAAGTGTGTCCACATGGCATACTGTTTTCCCTGTTTTTACGACTTGAGTTATGGAAAGTTTTTGACTTTAGGTGCTGTCCTGAAACGCAACACACTCGTTAATAACACTGCCTTAAAGAATATATATATAAAATAGGTGTAATTTTGGGCAACGCAGCATAGTTAAATAATTTGTCCTGAAATCAATCGCTTAAAACCAAAATTACCTGATATTTAGAATGTTTGCGTGTCTTTAAAATACTTTTTGGTTCCACCATTGGAACCTCCTTTGCTTACCCCGAGCTCTCATACTTTGATGGTGCATTGTCTCTGAGTTGTGCGCCTTTTGGCGTCATCTGGTCCAACACCATGTGAGACTAGGCTCTAAGAAAAGCTGTCTCGGGTGTGGACCAATCAACTTCAAGGACAGTGCATACATTATCAGAGTTGTGTTTTTGTTTGCATCCCGACTGCAGGTATTGTGGTCAATGCAAACATGACTCCTTGTAAAAGAAAATGTGTCAGTTTTGTTGCCAGATAAAAGGGTAAAAAAACAATTATCATACTTTTTTTTTTTGGTAAAGTCACGTAGGTATAAAAAAATATATATATCGACGTCTCGATCGCAACACAAGCGGGGTCGTCCTCGGCGGAAAAGACAAAACTAATCCAGCAGTGGAACTGCTTAACCAGCGAGAGAGCTGTTACAACAAAAGGTTATTTATGTGGCGATGGGCAAGCAAGCGGGGTCTGAGCTGGAAGGAATTCCATCCCCGGACGCGACAGAAGCTCATTTCATGCTCATCTCTCTCCCTAATCTCCCCCATTAACACAACTGACGTGCTTGCGTCCAGGGATGGAATTCCTTCCAGCTCAGACCCCGTTTGCTTGCTCATCACCACATAAATAACCTCTTGTTGTAACAGCTGTCTCGCTGGTTCAGCAGTTCCACTGTTGGATTATTATTTTTTTTCCGCCTGAGGATGACCGCTTGTGTTGCGATCGAAACGTCGTGATTTTATTTCTACCTACGTGAATTTACCGAAAGAACCAAAGAGTATGGATTCCTGCAGTCACGAAAGCTTCAAATCAAGATTGTCTTTACAATGTCATCATTATAATTTGTTTCAATGTTTACCTTGTGTATATTTAATCTGTGTTTTCCCTTTTTTGTCATTTTGTTGCTGTGTGCACATAGAAGAGAAACTTGACACTTGCCTTCCAGGCTGCGGAAAGTGTTGGAATCAAGCCCACGCTGGTAAGCCTTCGGGCCACATTGATGGAATATAACTCAGCCCAACTCATTAGTGTCTCTGATATAATGGTGTGGCAATACCGCGAAGGAAACACTTTGTACATTGACATGTCCTCGTTGTTTGCGCGTTTTTCTTTGCAGGATATCAATGACATGGTACACACCGAGCGACCAGACTGGCAGAGTGTCATGCATTACGTTACAGCCATTTACAAGTACTTTGAGACCTGAGCGGCTGTTGGCGAACGCATCTTCGGAGGTCCGAGAAGCAAAGTTCGATGAAATCTCGTTGATTTACCTAGTGAAGCGCAGGAGAAAAAACGTCATCGACTTGAACGTAAAAAGACGTTCGCATCGCTGTCCTTTCACTTCTAGAACACTCCGTAAATGAACCAGCGATTCCATCCTGAAGATGTTGGCAGGGCTTTTTGCACGCACACCTCCCAGAATTTCCCCCTTTTTTTTTACCAGGTATGGCCCACTGAGCTCTATAGCTCAGAAGCGACATGGCCACACATAATAGCTCAACAAAGTGGCTTATCCTGTGGAAATTGATAGCCAAATTACTCTATGTGTGTGACGTTGATTCTAAAAATAGAGGGAAAAACCTAGAGGACCCGGATAAAAATGCACGCGACCACGGGGAGAACGTGCAAACTCCAAATATACAGCAGCAGGCGTCAGGGTCGGGATCGAACCCACGACCTCCTGCATACCAGGCGAGTTGGTTAACGTCTCGCTACCGTGGCGCCGTGTTGATGCTACATTGTATGGGAACACGAAGCCGCCAGGATGGGGTCTAGTGCGTCAGCTGAATTGGGTACGGGGATGACGAGGAGGCTCAGGTCGTGAAGGTGGCCGGCCGGCAGGCTGGACAGCGTGGCTCTGTTGAACCGCCTCGGCCCGCAGTCGCGCTTCCAAAACGTCGTTGACCAAAGGTCTTCAAAGATTTTTTGTTTTGTTTCAAGTCAGCCTTGATAGCATGGATTATGTCACCCGTTCCGGATGGCCGACCGTCATTCCATGAGCGTTTATGTAGCGTTAACTTTACATTGAAGGTGAAGTGTAATTAGGGGGGGGGCAGTCACTTGAAACAATGGAGAAGAAAGCATTATTGTGAATTATTTAACACAACTCCAGTATTTGCAATGTTACATTGCAGTATTTGTCTTTTGTTGTCAAGTAGATAAATGAAGGAAACACTAAAACAGCTGGTTTTTTGCAAATGTGTAGGGAAATAAGGCTGAAGTCTTTGACACTAGTTTTTGTAACAAGTTCCTTACATTCCACATTTTATTACACTACGCAGACAATGTGGCATTTCAGCAGAAGATTTCTGCCTCGTTTTGTCTAAAGAAATATTTATGGTGGTAACGTGTGATGCTTAATTCACTTAGAGGACTGGCGAGATTTGTAGTTTGTCTGGCATTACTCATGCTGTTCGAGCCAGGGTTGTTTGTCTGTTTTATGGTCACGTTCTGAAATGTATTTTTTTTCTATAATCACGTTTGAGCCAAGTGTTTTTTGAGTGGCCCCAAGCAGAAGGGAACGCGGAATGTACACGCGGAAAAGACTTGACGTTTTCACGCCGCGATATAAAATGCACTCCCGCGCCCTCCAATACATGACATTGACGGTGCATGAGCTTGTACATTCATGGTATCCGCCCCCCCCCAACCCCGCGGTCTGAGCATTCCCATCCGTCGGCGATTAATGTGAAGTGCACTGGAAACATTTAATGAACGGTAAACGGTTAAACACTGGGTTGGTGAGCTCCCCATCAATCCGTGCCTCTTGTTGTGCGCCCGCCCGCCTCTTATACTGCCTGGTGACGGTGTCCTCCTTTCGACCGACGCAGCTCTTTAGCCTGTGTCCTGGCCAGAGAGAGTGGAGGGGGTGGGGGAGTGAGTCAGTGGGTGAGTGAGTTAGTGGGTGAGTGCCCTTGCTTGCTTATGTGTAGAGAGTACTTGCATGTTGTAGGCGAGGTAGAGCAGCGTGAATGAAGGTGAAAATTGCGGACGGCTTTTGTCGAGTGGAATTGGAAAGGACGTTGAAGAAAAGGGTCCTAGAGAGCAGCGTGAACCGATGATTTTGCTGGCGGATTTCTTGTGATTGTTAAGCCGTGCCTCGCCCACATTGGTTAGTGGATGCAGGCGCGTGGGAACATTTTGCAAGTTGGGGTGGGGGAGGGATTAAGTAGTGATGGGGTGTTCATTAAGGCAATTAAGGGGCCACGTCATATGCTTTGCCCCTGCGCAAAGTGTAACGGACAGAGGGAGCGAATTCCCCTCGTCCCCTACATTCCCACGCCTATGGGGTGGCTGCTTCACTGAATGGCGATGTAGCGCGGTGAGAAATATCCCGTACCTTGCACCACTCGCTCGCTCACTCTCCCTGCTCCCAACAGTTCAACGCCAATTGGGTCACATGTGCTCAAAGGTGCTGGGTCACAGTGCCTGGTTTTTAAATGGGAACGCGGTGAGGGCACGGACAGGGTTGGCCTGAATGTGTGCCGCGTGCGTCTGCTACTAATTTACCGCAATCAACGACGGGTCCTCCGACACAAGGGAGGTCATCTATTTGTTTTTTGAGCAGCTAGCCAATGAATGCCATCTAGCAAAACCGCATGGGGGGGGGGGGGGGGATTGTTGGAATGGCGTGAAACCGTCCTTTGGAATTCGTGTCCGGTATTTTCACACAATACTTGAACGATACAGGAATACATTAAAGCCAGTTTTGCACAAGCGACATCTGTATGGTGGACGATTGCATGGCTTGAAAATGTAAATGAATAACGGCTTATTGACATGTACATTCTCATGCACCCCCCCCCCCCCCCCAACCACCGCCAAACTCGACGTTACGTTATAAAGTTCACCCGTATTTTCTCGCTACGCACCCGGGCGGAAATTGTGGAAATGTTCAAGGTGGCATTAATTGGCGGTCATACTCCTAAATATGGGGGGGGGGGGGGGTGTATCCGGTTCTCTGTAGAAATGCTCCTCATTATCCCCTTGTCCTCCTCACTCCCCCCAACCACTACCCTGCATGTTCCACGACTGCTGCCCCTTGTCAGTGGTGTAATGTCAGGTCGGTGTGTGGAATGCGCACACCGTGAAGACAATTCTGGCTAATTAGGGACAAGCATGGTGCTGTAAAGGAGGTGACGTTTTGCATAAATTGCTCTTATTTTTGTTACGTGGCTTAGCTGACTCACACTTCCATTGAGATCTGTTTCAAGATACCTCGGGCACTTGCATTTTTGGTTTGTGTAATCCGTAGATAATGCCGATGGAAGAGAAAAAACCACTAAATCGCAATACCATGCAATGCTACGTAGGTCATTTGAATAGACCTCGGTGAAAGTGAATGACGGTTGAAACAGTACATGAATGTGATACGTGTCAAGTCCCAAATGTGTGTCTGTTCCAACGGCCATGGTGGAGGTGATGCTCATGTCTGTCATTGGCTGTGACAGCGGCGAAGACTCTACATTCCTATGACAGGGACCAGTATTATCGTATGGACCATGCTTGACTTTCCAACAAAGCGGTATCGTATTCATTTTATTTACCACTGAGAGATGATGGGGTTATAGTTCTGGCCACCTTGTGTTTCTTGCCGAGTAAAGCCACGCGGCCGGTCGAGGTGAGATTCATCACATTTAACGGTTTTGTAGGATTTCACTGCCCACCCCGTGCCCCTTTTTTCCGTGCTGTTAACGGAGAGAATGGTGACGTGTGTTCAACAAATTTCAAATGCCCCTTTTCTACAAGCAAAAGTGCAGGTTTCCATTGAATTGATTGTACACGTTTTGTCGCGTGAAATAGCCGTTGGGCTCGTACATGAACACACATATTTTATGCTTTTTTTTACATACATTCTTTTCGATAAGTGATATTGCTGACAACAATAAACAGTACATATTATCCCTGTGTCGCAGCTCAGCCCAGATTGTGAAAGGTTGGTTGTTGAAACACGTTGTTGTTGTCCTTGACGTCGATTCCTTCGCCTGCAAATGAACGCGCAGCATGAGCATCTCGTGTTGCTCCGTGAAGATTTTCGAACGGTCATGGGGAGAGTGGTGGGACGATGCTGTGTTTTTTATGAACTCGGCGATTTGAGTTGGATCCCCAGCCACAGGTAACATCAGGGGTAGCGAAGGACAGACAGGATCTTGATCTTTATGAACTGATCCAAACATCCTCTTCCCCCACTACCCCTCTTCACCCTGCTCCCCACACGACCCACACTAACCAGACACGAGTGACGGATACGTCGTGGGGTTCGATCCCGAGCCTGACGCCTGTATATTTTGGAGTTTGCGTGCTCTCTCTCCTCGGGTTTTCCCTCCACATTTAGAAACATGCCGTTCAGAGTATTTGGCTGCTATACATCTCCACATTATAAGCCACTTCGTTGAGCTATCATTTGTGGCCAGATGGCTTTTTGAAAAAGCTCTGTAGCTCAGTGGGTCTAACCTGGTAAAAACATTTTTTTGATAGTTGTATAATAAGTTCCATGGTATTATGGGTGGTAACCACACAGTCTTCGCACACTGCATCATCTGCTGCCATGCTGCCGTGGTATTTTTTTTGTGCGAATGCGGTTGAGATCGAACGAAGCCAGCCAGGGATCGTCCGAGTCAGTGTTTTTCACGAGGTGCTTATCACGTTAACCAATGTACGGCGATGCTAATTTACGACCGATAGAGGGCGAAAGTTCCCTTGCAATCCAACGGGGAACGCGGCAGAAAAAAAATCAGCACGCGGATTTATGGCGAGGCTTGCTTTCCGTTAAAATCAACTTGCTCCCTGTGAACGCAAAGTTTTGCCAAACTCATTGCTTGTCATAATGGGCACGCGTAATTAACCTTGCCGAGTGGTTTTAGTATTATTAAAGTACAGTTCATAGAGCGTGTACAATTTTCTGCATCACGCACATCTGTGAACTGGATTTCCATTGCGAATCATGGATAAGTTAACTGAACGTACATAGAGAACAACATTGTCCTTATGTTCATACTCTTAGTTCTTTCGGTAAAGTCACGTAGGTAAAAAAAAAACTATTATTAATTTTTTTATTAATTTTATTTTACCGAAAGAACTAAGAGTATGAATCATTGCAGTCACGAACGCTTAAAATCTAGAATTGTCATTATGTTGTATTCATTGAATTGTTTTAATAACTTACTTTTTTTACAAAAAACTGAATTGCGTCTCCGTAAAAGCCCGCTGCTGGCGCCTCGGTTATAATCACTCTGATTTGATGATTTCCAATCATCCGGATATAATCACTGGATGATTTCCAAGCATCCGGTTATAATCACTCTGATTGGAGGATGCCCAAGCATCCGGTTATAATCACTGATTGGATGATTTCTAATCATCCGGTTATAATCACTGGATTATTTCCAATCATCCGGTTATGATCACTCTGATTGGATGATGCCCAAGCATCCGGTTATACTCACTGATTGGATGATTTCTAATCATCCGGTTATAATCACTGGATGATTTCCAATTATCCGGTCATAATCGCTGCGTGGATTATTTCCCAGTTGCGTTCGGATTACAGCTGTCTGTGATTGGATGGACTCAGTAACGTGTAACTTTATTCTACTTTATAATCATTCGCTACGACTCGTAATGCGTTTTAAAAAAAAATCTCTACATGATATTAATAGCATATTCACGCTGTAGAATGCCACTCAAAGATCACGTTTTTTTCTTCCTTTATCGTTCACAACTTCCTCTATTTTTATATTCGTTTTTCCTATTGCAACGAAGCATCGCGAGTTAAGTCACACGCTCAAAATTTACCGGTTGCACAACGAAGTTGAAAGACGCGTTACAGCCGATACACAGAGTCGGTGTTCTTTAGTGCCAGGCCCGCGGGCTACTGGCGGTCTCTGGTAGCCTGTAGTGTGTCCCCTGATGTGCGGCCCCCGACAATACACAACGCGTGTAAACACCTTCCCATCATCATCATCATCGTACTGCTGTCTAACCCAGCAATGGTATCCCAATGTGCGTCTGCCAGAGGTCACAAACGGGTTTTGATTCCTTACCCGTACCCGTACCCGGCCGCACCAGGGTCGCAAACAGGTATCCGTACCCGGCCGGGTACGGGTAGCCGGGTATCGGGTAGGGTACGGGTATCGGGTACCCGGTTGCGACCTCTGGCGTCTGCCCTCACACACTGATGATGTCTTATCGGCGAAAGTGACCCCCCTCCCCCCCCTCTGAAAATGAGTGAACAACACTGGTGTAGAGGCAAAGAAACCGAGGAGAAGAGGCGGGGGAGCGGGGGGGAATCCCCATCAACCTGTCGTTAATATCAAGAGAGGAGAGTGACATTATCAGTTGTTGAATTCGACACCAAAAGTAACACATTTTGAAAAAGGTTTCGAGCCTAGATAACCGAAACTTCCACTTTCCCATTGAGTATTGCGTGACACCACGGGAGGGAGGATACGGACGTTTTTGAAAGGACGTGCATTTTGAAATCCTCGCCATCGATTTTACGAACAACTTATTTGTAAAAAATAAAAGGCGCAGATTTCTAATAACAAAAAGGGGGGAGGCGGGGGAATTATAAAGCCGGTCCGTGCAAATGCGCCGCACAAAATATAAAATGGATATGTACAATTCTTAAAAGTACGGTGTGGTTTCAGACACTTGGTAGAGGAGAAGATGGCCAGTCATCGGAGAAAGAGGACGGCCGTGGGGCTACACTGGAACGGGGGGGGGGGGGGGCAGTCAGGTGTCGACAGCACGGGTAGCTCGCTGGTGGAAGGGGAATTCGAGATTTATTGAGGCAGCAGATAAAAGGCGGCCTCCACGTTTAGTGGAGGTGGACTGTGAACTTCTTCAAGAGGCTGCTGGAACAGAGAAGCAGGTGGACTACGAGCACGCGTATCATCACAATTATGAATATTAACAGACCTCAATCTTAATTTAATTTATTATTTTATCTTTATACGTGACTTTACCGAAAGAACCAAAGAGTAATTGACAGACCTTTTTGTATCCTCTGCTGGAAGTCATGGGGTTTTTTTTTTACAATGCAGCATTATCACTACGCTGGTCAGTGCGGGGTTATTAAAGGGTAGCCCCGGAAGTTGTTTAGATATCACGGACCACTGCTGATGGCCGAGAGTGGAACGCATTTCGCCGAGTTAACATTTGCAGTGTGCTAATCAGTGCGCCACCTGCTCTCTGCCGTATAAGGACAATTAAAAAAACCTCGCCCCCATTATTAGCACACTGCCTTTAACCAAAAAATATAAATCAATAAAACCCTCAAACGTTCCTTTTATCAGACGGACATACTAATTATGATAAAATACCCCTTTTAAAGAGACGACATTTGTGCGTGACTGTGATTGTGCGTGACTGTGATTGCGTGTGGTTGTGCGTGCGTGATTGCGTGTGATTACGTGTGATTGTGTATGTGATTGTGCATGATTGATTGTGTAATTGTGCGTGCGTGATTGCGTGTGTGATTGTGTGATTACGTGTGATTGTGTGTGATTGTGTGTGCGTGATTGTGTGTGATTGTGTGTGATTGTGTTCTTTTGTGTGATTGTGTGTGTGATTGTGCGTGTGTGATTGTGTAATTGTGCGTGATTGATTGTTTATTTGTGCGTGATTGTGCACCGATGCCAACGTGGCTTCATCGTTTTAGTCACTGAATACAAAACAGCGCTTGCGAATCTCAACGTGGGGAGGAGACGGGTTCCAGCAGCAGTGGAGTGGTTCGCCCTTTGCAATATTGACCCCCCCACGGCACGAAACCTGAGTTGAATTCCGATCCAAGGCTAACTAACATCAGTGGTGATATGTCGTGCTGGGGGCGATGGCGGTGTGGTGGATATCAGACTGCGAGGGATATCTGAACCAGACCCGCGTTCCCCAAACCTCAACCCAGCCCGCACCGAGCAAAGTGGTGAAGTATGGATTAAAACTTTCGTGACTGCAGGGATTCATCTTCTTGGTTCTTTCGGTATTTTTATTATTTTATTGTATGTTTTATTTGTATTATTTTATTATTTCCCTTCTACGTGACTTTACCGAAAGAACCAAGAAGATGGTGAAGTGTGGTCAAACAACTCTCGGTGTGGGGAGGCTTTTAATTAAAGAGTATATCGACAAAAGGCCTGTAAATGATTACTCATTATTCCAATGCATGCTCATATCTCCCGTCTTGTGTGACACTGCTTGCCGCAGTCGTTTCGCTGAATCACGACTTCAGGAGAACGTTCGCCGTTTCCTCCTCACCCCGGCATAAACGTCTCGTCACCCAGTGTGGTTGTGCCGTTGTGGTGGTTGGGTGGTTGTGTGGTTGTGGTGGTGGTTTTGGTGGTTGTGCTGGCTGTATGGTTGTGTTGTGATTGTGGTGGTTGTGCTGGCTGTGTGGTTGTGGTGGTTGTGTGGATGTGTGGTTGTGGTGGTTGTGGTGGTTGTGTGGCTGTGTGGCTGTGTGGATGTGTGGATGTGTGGTTGTGGTGGTTGTGGTGGTTGTGTGGCTGTGTGGATGTGTGGTTGTGGTGGTTGTGGTGGTTGTGTGGATGTGTGGATGTGTGGTTGTGGTGGTTGTGGTGGTTGTGGTGGCTGTGTGGATGTGTGGTTGTGGTGGCTGTATTGGCTGTGTGGTTGTGGTGGTTGTGGTGGATGTGTGGATGTGTGGTTGTGGTGGTTGTGGTGGTTGTGCTGGCTGTGTGGTTGTGGTGGTTGTGGTGGTTGTGCTGGCTGTGTGGTTGTGGTGGCTGTGTGGTTGTGGTGGTTGTGGTGGTTGTGTGGATGTGTAGTTGTGGTGGTTGTGGTGGTTGTGGTGGTTGTGTGGATGTGTAGTTGTGGTGGTTGTGGTGGTTGTGGTGGTTGTGTGGCTGTGTGGTTGTGGTGGTTGTGTTGGATGTGTGGATGTG